CCTCCTCCGCGTCCTCCTGCTCGTCGTATTAGCATTCGCATTTTTCTTGATATCAGTATGATTACTATGATTAGTAATGTGACTATGTAGGTTTACTACTAGTAGTATAATGATATGTATTATCAGTGGCCCCCTTGTTATTATGATCATGGTTAGTAGTATGATCAGTATTATGATCATCATTAATCACATAGTCTTATCAGTATGACCAGCATTACGGTTGGTAGTATCATTCGTCGTCTCAGCATTCGAATGATTACTGATGATATTAGTTGTCTTATTTGTAGTATTCGAATCATCCCTAGTATTAGTAGTATCATTATTGTCATTAGTGTTAGTATTATTGATAGTATTAACAATATCATCCTTAGCAACAGCATGAAATATTCATATCATTAGTATTCGTCGTCGTCTTCTATTTCTTAGTATTATTATGTTTCTGTGCTACTACTACGAGTGATATTAATATTCGTCTGCTTTATTATGTATAGTCTTCTTAGTATTCATACGATTAGTGTCCTCATGATTAGTACTCATATAGTTATAATTAGCATAAGTGTCTTTATACATGTTATTTTGCTAATAGCGCTCGAAATTTTATTACCACTCGGAGTATTATGTTCACTGTATTGTTTCCCTTAATAGTATCACTCGTAATACTTTAATTGTAAGCAACAGTCATCTTCCTAGTATAAGTATGGTTATGACTATGCTTATGTGTTGCTTTTGTTTATTGTTCCTCCTCCTCTTTATCCTTTACCCCTTCGTCCTCCTCCTCCTCCTCCTCCTCCTCCTCTTCCTCCTCCTGGGGCGAAGTTCAGGTGCCGCGCTAAAATGGGAGGGTGGGGGCGCAGAAGACGCGCTGCGTGGCGAGGAGCTGGGCTGGCTGCTGGGGGGAAGGCAGGGCGGTTGGCTGCAGAATTGGGGGCAGGAGCGGGCGCGGCGCTGGTGCCGTGCCGGAATACAAGGAAAGGGCAGAGGGAAGCGCTGGCTGGTGAGCGAGGAGCTTGGCTGGCTGTGGAGGAGCGGGCTTTCTATACGGGGGGGGGCAGTGGCGCAGGCGCGGCGCCAGTGGCGTGCCGAAATAAAACGGGAGGGGCGGAAGGGGCGCGCTGGCTGGCGGGGGACGTGGGCGGGCGCGGCGCCGGTGCACTGCCGAAACAAACGGGTCGGGGCCGAGGGGGCGCGCTGGCTGGCGGGGGAAAGGAAAAACTGGGCTGGCTGCGGAAGGGGGGGCGGGCGCGGCGCGGATGCCGTGCCAGAATAAAGTCCGTCGGGGCGGAAGGAGCGCGCTGGATGGCGGGGGAGGGGGGGGCGCTGGCTGCGGAGGGGGGGGGGGGCACGGCGCCGGCGCAGTGTGGAAATACAGGAGTCGGGGCGGAGGGGGCGCGCTGACTGGTGGGGGAGAGGAAGTGGGCTGGCTGCGGACATGGGGAGGTGGGCGGGCTAGCAAAAAGAGGTGGGCTGGCAGTGCTGTGCCGGGGCGTCATGGCTGGCGAGGGAGGGGGGTGGGCTGGCTGCTGCAAACAGAGGCAGACGGGAGCAGAAAAGGAGGGGGGTGACATGCCGAAGTAAAGGGGTAGGGGCGGAGGGGGCGCATTGGTTGGTGGCCATCTCCGTGCCGAAAAAAAAAACAGAAGGGGCGGATGGGGCGCGCTGGCTGGCGGGGGAGGGGGAGGTGGGCTGGCGGAGGGGGGACTGGTGGCGTGCCGAAGTAGAAGGGTCAGGGCGGAGGGGGCGGGCGCGGCTGCGGAGAAGGGCGGAGGGGGGATCGGTGCCATGCCGAAATAAAAAAGTCAGAGCCCTGGGCACACCGCGCAAGAGAGGGATGCCCCAGGTCCCCAGGTTTCTATCCATACCCATCTCCTCCTGGCGCGCAGAATGCGGGGCACCACCACGGAAACATGGGAGCATGGGTATGGATCGAGAGACGATCGCCACTTGAAAACCACAAACGAAAGCCCTCCCTCCCCCCTGTCCGGCTTGTGCACCCACATGTTGTCCCCCGAGGGCACCGTCGGCAGAGCCTGCGCGCTGGCCGAAAGAAGGCGTCGCCGTCAGAGGGGGAGGCAGAGAAGGTGTCTGGAGGTTGTCAGCATTCATCAGTCTTCGGACGACGTCGGAAGTGGAAGGATAAATAGGAGGATCTTCGTGTTGTCCACGATCGGACCAACCAGTCCGGCACACACGCAAGTGCCCGGACCGATTCACCTGCGGGCGGACGGCGGGCCGATGGGAAAGCAGAGTGGCTTGGCAGGCCAACTCCCCAGCCGCGCTCCGCCCGCACACAAGTGGGAACCTTGGAGACCGGGAGCCGCTCCCTTCCGGTTGGCGCAATAGTAATAGGGGAAAGCAACAACATCAATAGTAGCAGTAGAAGTGGTGGTGGTAGTAGTAGTAGTAGTAGTAGTAGTAGTACTACTACTACTACTACTACTACTACGACTACTACTACTACTACTACTACGACTACTCCTACTACTACTACTACTGCTACTAC